TAAATACATCACTTTAATTTTTTATTATAATATTAATACATAAAAATATATAAATAATTTTATAAAATATTAAAAAAAAAGCCCCTTTCCCCAACCAAGCACTCTTAAGTGTTGGACATAAGGGGATGGTGCTCCAACGCCATTCTCATCTGCCACACACCACTAGGTCTTTTTCATTGGGTCTGTGACCTGGATTCGACTTTTTCACCTTATGCATTCAAAATTTTTTAGGGTTGCCAGCTCAAATACTAAAGTCTTAAACCATATATTTAATTTAAAGATAATATTTATTTATTAAAAATATAAAAATTAATATAACTTAATGTTATTTAATTATAGGTTTCATCTAAATCTTGTTGAATATGCATGACACAAGCATGACATTAATAGTAAAATGAAGAAAAATACAATTAAAAAAGTATGAATTAAAAAACATAGAGGTAAAATGTTAGAGAAGTGATATTTTTTTATTCTTTCATCTCTACACTTCCATATGTCTTACAATATTACAAGCCTTATATATAGATTAAGTGAGTGGTAAGAGTTATATGGATTTATTATATGCTAAATAGGAGTTAGAAGGTTTAATCCTCTACTAAGTGAGAAGTTACAAAAGGTATAGATTACTAAGTAATTGCTTGAGAAAATAGGTGTTAAACACCATCATATGGAATGTGCAATTACATGAAATTAGTGAAGTGCTAATTACTGTTATATACATTAAAAAAAGTGGAGAGTTATATAGTGGAATTTAATCACCATTGTTATTGCATAAAAGATGAAACATCCACCAAAATAAATTTTATTCATAACAAGACTATATATCTACATAAAGCAAAACCAAATCAAGCACCAAAAATCTAATCAAAGATAGTGACATCTTTTAGTTTCAACTTTGCTTTTTGCTAAAGCAGAGGATGGAAATGCAACCACACCATTTCATTCTTAGTGCATTCTGAAATGTACCAAACGTTACACTTTCTTTTTAAAACTCTCTGCCTCACACGGCAGGGTAATATGATCACTAAAACTTGATGTATATTCTTTAGTGTTTTTGGTGTGTATTGATTATGCCCATGCATGAACAAATTAAACTGTATTTGCATTTCTATACTTTCAACCATTTACCTTTCACATATGGCATGGACAAGCACCTTGATGATTTCATATAAAAAGTGGAGTTATTATTTTTATATCTAGAAAGCTTTAAAACTATCAAAGATTCGATGGTGGTGGATTTTGATGTAACAACTTTTTTTTTGGCCAACATGATGAAAACAACTATTATCGCTTTGGTATTGATTCTCAATTAATGTTTCATTCACAGTGCGGAAATCTTATCCCTTACACAAAATGTTGAAAGATGAATTTAAAAATAAAAATAATTTATGAACACGTTGCTATCATTACCGGTAGTGTCTAATTCACGTGTCCATTAGAAAGAGAAGCTAATTCAATTTCTACTACCTGAACTTACACTAGATAAGAGTTTCATGCATTGCAATTTGTAACTGTTAAATTTAAATTATTGAATGGAGGGGGATAGCTCTCAATTATAAGAATGTTATCTTCCTAGAATAGTTTAAGTATAGCTCTCAATTATAAGAATGTTATCTTCCTAGAATAGTTTAAGTTATATATATAGTTTAAATTATGTGACACTTTTTTTTTTTTTGCTTAAATTAACATACACTATATATATATATATATATATATTTTTTTTTTTTTTTTTTTTTTTTTTGGCAACAATTATGTGCATTTCTCCTTGTAAATTGTGAATTATTTAGATCACATTTAAATATTTAAATTTAGGCGCAGAGGGAAAAGAAATTCCGATAAATTGTTTATATTAATAATATATTTAGATTAAGAAAAATAGAAGAGTGGGCAATTGTATCTTTTCATTCTTTGCTCCTCTCTTAAATAAATGAATAAATTAAGTGAATAAGGTAAATTTTTTTTTTCTTTCCTATCTTCTATTTTCCTCAACAAAAGATGCAAGATGGGAAGTGTAGATTTTCTAACTAAATAAAATATATTATTTTTAAATACTATAATTTAATTAATTAAAAATATATCCCTCTACTTCCCGCCGTATCCCTTAAACCAAATACACTGTAA